AACTCCCGCCCGGAAGGAGGAGCCGGGAGGGCGCGTGTGTCCACCGTGGCCCGGGACGAGCGTCTCCCGGGGGCAGCGCTGGCCTCGTGAGCATCGTGCGTGGCCCTTTGTGACCCAGGTGAGCGAATCCCCTTCCGCACGGTCCGGCCGGGCCGGGCTGCGGCCGGGAGACAGGTGCACAGAGTTAGGGATGCGGCGCGGCGTTGCTTAGCTTCTCTGTCGTCAGAGCGCTTGTTCTTTCCTGCCCGCATCACCTGCTCGGCGGAGACCTCGCAGCTCCTTTGGCACCTTCGCAGGCTGCCGGGTTGAACGCCCCCGTTTCAGAGGCGATGGCAGGTTAGTTAAAGCGAGTTTCACCCCACTCACCCCAGCTTTGGATAATTTGGTCGTGTCTTCGTCTTAATTTAGGATGAATGTGTTATTTCCTTGGAGCCTTAGGATGGAAAAGCGGCTTGTTCCAACCATTTCTACCCCCCCCATTCTGAGCCTGTGCACAGAAGGAATTGCAGACACACAAGTAATGTTACTACCATTCTATTTTAGATACAAACAGAGAAAGAAGTATGCTTGGCAGGATGCCAAAGGTGCCTGTACTCACTGTTATATAAGTGCTTTAAAATATTTGCTCATTGGTAAAGTTATGAGTGATGATTACCAAAGCGTCTAAGAAGAGCACAAGAAGTCAGATCTATAATTTCTGCTTTAAACCAAAACTTTCCTTTGAGATAAGCATGGTCTCGACTCAAGATATCCTTTGAAGATAAAACAGGGCATTGAAAATTCAGTAGGTAGACCGTGAGGCGTTACAACACAAAAACAGGTTTCGAAGCCTATTATGAAAATTGGTGGGAATTTTTGGAGAGTGAGTGATTAAAAAAAAAAAAATCCCATAGACAACCTTTATGACTTGCAGGCAATTGGATGATTTTATTTTGCTGTGGGATGGAAACAGTAATTGTGAGTTGCCGGTTGTTAAAGATCTGTCTTTTCTTCCCTCTCCACTCTCCACCCCCAAGCTCTGCTCACATTTATAGTTATTTTTTCTGGTAAGAAGACGACTAACCAGTATCAGATATACCAATGTCCGGGTACCCCTCTTGCCACTTCCATTCTGTTCTAATTGGTCTAGGGACTAGTACATTGGCATCTATTATACATTAATAGTTTTCCTGGTGATTTCAATGTGTACAGTGATAAGACCAATTGGAGCAATATTGTTTCTTTTAATTTATCACTTTGTAGCCTAAAGTGTGGCTACGGCAATTTAAAGTAAGTCAAAAATATGTAATATCGGGGAGAAAAATGGTATTGGAAAGGAAATGTGCTGGTGGATTTAAGCATATAAATGCTTGTGTTTTGTCCAAATAATTTCTCTTGGTTTTTCTTAGAAAGAGTAGTTGATGTTTTCCAGGAAGTATAATTCTGTGTGGAATACTCACAGAAGTCTTAAGTGGTATCATGCATTGTGCAGAGGGTAACTGGGAAAGTTGATATTCCTTCATGTTTACAATCTAAAATAATCAAGTCTCATTAAAGGTGATTTTCTCTATCAAATTAAAAACTTGTTATGTTAATACAGCATAAACTAGTCAGTTAAGTGCAAAAGGATTTTTATTGCTTTTAAGGTCAGAAGGAAATCTGGCTGCTGAATCACTGATTTCCATTTGTCTTATGTAATTCCATGTATCCAAGCAAGCCTGGGAGCAGATCTTATGGATGGTTTATGAAGGCTTATGTAAGAACTACAACTGTGCTTCTGCTACTCCATTACACTTGTTTTGGGTATTACATAATTGACATGGAACTAGGCTGTTAAAAAAACTAAACTAGGAGGAGCATGCACGAACTCAGCCCCCCCCCATTTTATAATGAATTGCTGCCACCAAATTAGAGGGAACAGCGGGGATGGTGGTTTGTGAAAGAGAGATAAGAATAGTGTATGGAGGATTGATGTAATAGAAGACGGTTACGCTTGGTGATTTTCTAGAGATTTAGATGCTGTGAAAGAAGCCTCTCTAGCCTTTTATATCTCCCAGCAGAGGCAGTTGATGGAAGCTAATGAATCTAAAGCTTCAAATCTCTCAGTGAGGCTTCTTGGAGGGGGCTGTATTAACAATATGTTCATATGGTCATACTTAAGTCTGCGTTTGTAGTTTTAATTCTTTTTAAATAGAGAGGGTGATCTTTCCACTCTTGCATCCCTCTCCCTAATTACATAAACCTAAGGCTCCACAAACTCTGAATTGGCTCCCACTTCCAAATTGTGTTCAAATGTTACCTATAAAATTGCCTTTTCTATTTTAATTTTTGTTATGTTATGAAGATCTGAGCAATGATGGAGTTGATCTGCTGAGAAAATACAGATTGCTAGAAGCCAAGGCTGTGTGAAGCTCCAGAAATCAGGTGGTAACTTGGAGAACTGGGATCTGTGCCTTGTGATCTCACGTGAAGCGAACGTTTTTGGATCTGAGTGTGAACTGGAGGTGGAGAAAAGCAAAGATGGGGGTGACAATGTGAGGACAGTGGGTTGAAACTCTTCCACATCTCAGAGGCAGGCTGCTAATGGGGAGGAGGAAAAAAACCCAACTGCTGAATGTTTCATTAATAAAAAGCTAATAGGAACAGATAGCATAGCTCCACAGGAGACCTTTTTGTAAGTTCTTTAGGTTCTGTCCATAGTAGGAACTTTAAAACAGTAAGCAAACAAACTCATACTCAGAAAATATTGTGCAGGAAACAAAGCAGGTTCTGAAGGACTAGAAAGATTATCAGTTTACTAGCAGTTTTTATAAGCAAGCGTGAGCCTTATTATATGCATCAGCGTTTGAGAGGATGTTGAAAAGAGTTGAGTTTATATTTTCTCTGAAATGATTGCCACTTGATACCTGAGTTTAATGTGTTCAGATCTTTTCATCTTGACCCTCCCACTAATACATTTACCTTATCCTCCCATCCATAGATCCACCCATCTATTATCCATTCATCCACAAAGACTCCTTGGCAAGATGTTCCTCAGACTCCTCCTAAGAACCTTTTGCTCAACTGGGTCTTGACCTTGGTTTGTAAAACCTGCAACTTTTAGCACAAATGATCCCCTGCCCCCAGGGACTTCAAAATGCTAACAGGGCTTGTGGCAGCCATATTTCTGGATGACCCAGCCCTTCTTGAGTTCTTGCATAGAAAAACTCAAAGCTGTCCTCAAGGAATTCAGCTAGACAATAGCTCTCAACTTTTTCTGAGACCATTGATTTAAAACAAAACAAGAAAAACTTGCCAATGTAAATCCCTTCTCTGTCCCTTTGTTATATACATATATGTTCTACTACCCAGGAGTGTCTTTCTCCAAGACCAGAATCCCTTCCTTTGAAATGTGGTCTTCAGTCTCTGAGGGAGGATAAATCTAACTTTTGACAAGTACCAGTTAGCAGACACACAGATGACCTATTAGCACTGACACTGAATAACTCATTTTGCTTTTTTCTTTTGGTATGGGGATCTTGCCCTTGCAAGGCAGGTGGCGGTACCAATGAGCTAAATTCGCAGCTGTCGTTCTGCTTTTTGTAATTTTACTTTCTTGACTCTGCTGGAGCCCTTACTCATTCCCCATTGCCACATTCTCCTTTTAAAAGACCTCATCACCTCTGCTCCATCAGACTTGAGGTTGGCTCTGTATGGAAGTTTCTTCTCTCTAATACTGGATAAGGCCTGTCCTTACTGCCTTTCTTGTCCAGTTTTTTTACATAGAATTTTAAAAACACCATCCAACAAATAATTATGAAGTCTTTGTGTGCCAGGCACCATCCTAGGAGCTGAGTATATAGCAGTGAACAAGTCAGACAAAAACTGTGCCCCTGGGGAACTTATAGCATAGTGTGAAGAATGAACCAAACTTAAACTATTTGTCAGGTAGAGATGGTACTATGGAGAAAAAAGTAAATCAGAGATGGGGAAGAAAAGGCTGTGCAATAGAAAATTGCTAATTCAAGCAGGCTTTTGGGGTAAGTCTCACTGAGAGAGGTGCTGAGCCCAGCCTGAAAGGTGTGGGAAGATTGAACCATATGGATGAAGCCCTTTGGAGTGATGGCAGGCTTCCGAGACTAACCAGAGAGTAGCTTCCATGTGTGAGGGGCTCAGGAAGTGCTGCAGGTACCAGTGGAAGATTCTCATGCTCTTATCTAATTGAACTGCCAGCTTTTTTTCTTTCCAGCGTCCCCTCTCCTCTCTACCCCTCAAAGTAGTCAATGCTGGTGTTCCTCTGGGCTTCTCAGGAGATCTGGAACCCAGCCTGGACCAGTACCTACAGAAGAGTAGGGAGGGAGGTTGAATGTCTTCACTGATGACTCCCATTGGCCTATCATAAGAAAAGAGGCCAACTGGCAGGTTCCATTTAACCTGGAATCCCTGCTGTCACCCTACTGTGATAGAAAAAGGATGTTCCTCTAAATGTCTGGAACTGAGAGCACCTCTCTGAGTGAAATCAAAGCAGAGAGAACCCTTGGCATAAAAGCGACTTGGATTAACTAGGGTTTAAAGGAAGAGAAATTGCTTAGTGTCTTACTGAAGTTCTTGGACACCTAGATGGCTAGCCTGTATCTGATATTTAGAAAACAGTCAAACACATCACACGCACACACACACACACACACACACACACACACACACACACACACACACACTGAAGCATGCACGCACGTGTGAGGAGCTAAGGCTGTAATGGATTCCTCCCTGTAGAAGGTGAGCAAGCCACTGTGAGCAGTAGCTGTGAATTGTATGTTGGCTTTTAGTTATGACCTTCCTGGATATGTGGTGGGTGAGAGGACCGGAATGTTGGAGCAAGAGGGCATAGCTGTTTACTGTTCAAGCCATTAGCTTATAATCATTTTAAACTCTCAGTAACCAAAGAAGAAATCTTTCTTCTAGGGATTCTCTGGATTGTTCACTGGCAGGGAGCATCATAATAGCTTGAGTGCATACACATGAAGGTGAGATTGATAGGAGACTGGTATTCTTACCATATATATGATATATATATATATTTTTTTTATATCATATATATCATATATATATATACACACACTATATATATATATACTATATATAAAAAAAGAAACTACTGTA